GACCCTCCGATTTCCTCTTCTGTACGACACCCCTTTTCTACCTCCTATCCTACCTCCCATCGAACTGACCTTTCCCAACTTCCTATCACTTCTCCCTTTCAGAAAATCTTCACTTTTGCCCCCAGAAAAAACCCGCCGGTCGAGCGTGAGGAAGAGGGTATCACCACACATGGAACGTGAACCGCGAAAAGTCAACGACGACCGGAAAAAACAACATTCAGGCCAGATACGACTCCCCATCCTCCAAATACGCGACCCCCCCCTCGGGGAGCCACCAACGTGCGACGTGCCTTGGTGTTCAATTGCACACAGCCACTCAACTTCCAATCTTTGCCCATCAATATTCCTGGACTCAGGAACAATCAACGTTCCTGCGCACCCTTCCCCACTTCTCCTTCCCCCTCGTCGGCGTCCCAAAAGTACATCCCCCTAGCGCATTATTCTGGGGAACGTTGGTAGGAACCCAGGTACGAAAAGAGAGACAGCCGTGCTCGGAGAAGCAATAATGGGGGGGGGGGGATATTTCGGCTTTCTTTCCCAACACCAGTACGTTTCCTGATTTCAGAAGGCGTTGTTGCAAAATTTTTCCACAGCTGCAGAACGTGCAGAGCTTGAGAATTGAGTACAGTCGTCATCCGGGCAGTTGATTAGCTGGCCAAAGGGTCGCGACTGCGGCGATCAGCTTCTTTTCAATTTTTTTCAAGGTAAGTTATGCTATTATCTCTATGAAGTATATTAGGACGTGGACCCATTTTTTATTTTTGTAATGAAGGGTTTTTTTGCGATTTCTAAGGTATTTATTCCAATTGTTTTTAACTGCTCGCGAAAATTAGAGAAATCTCAATCATAATTTACCTTAAGAGGGCAATTAAAATTTTGTGAGCAATTTACAACTTGCGAACAATTAAACAAATACCTAAAAATCGCAATCCACGTCCTAATATACTTCATTAAGACAAAAACACAACTTACCTTGAACGAAAAAAATAGAAAACCCAAAAAAATCAATGAGAAAATGGCCAATCAGGACGAGCCGCAGCCGCTTCGCGACCCTTTGGCCGCCTAATCAACTTCCCGGATGACGACTGTACTTATATGCAATTAGAAACACAGAACGAGATGAGGACGTGGGAGCGAAAATCCTGATTTTGAATGATTCCTGGGGGAAAATTTGCAAAATACGATCCCTTCTCAAAATAATTTCCTCAGCTACGACCCTCCCAGCTTCACCATTCCCCAAGAGGCAGAGTAGTAGGCTCAGAGGGGGAAGGGAGTGGATGGGGGAAAGCAGCGTACTGAAGAAACTAAAAAAAAACGGAAAAATGCCAACAACGAGAAGCATTTTCCTCAACGGCAAATGCGACCCCTGCGCTCTCTCTAAGCTGGGGATCCGCAACGCACAAGGTGCCCTGGTCCAAGTTTTACCCAGCAATATCCCTGACTCACAGAACAATCAATGTCCCTGGACCCCTCCCCTCACACTTGCTTTAGTCGCAAACCTTCAGCTCTCTGCAAACATGTACGTTCTTTGAAATGTTCATTGCATTTTCAATAAAAACAAGATGGGGAAAAGTACACCATTCTGATTTCAACACGTCCTTAATCGATCGATTCACGGACAATGCACAGAGTATCCTTTTTATATCAGTTTTAATACCAGCAATAACACGAAACGTACATAATTAAACTTCACATCATATAAAAATATAAAGTATCAGAATCAGAATCACTGATTACCAATTTTCTGAGCAAACTGGTATACAAAATTGATCATATCAATACAGGATCACTATGATCCGATTCTACCGCAGTGGGTAACGGCGAAATGAATGAAATGTACCAAAATGCACTCATGATGACAAAAAAGGAGGAGAAAAAAATTAAAAAAAAATCGACTCAATCGATTCACAAACAGAACAAAACACATTATACACAGTTAACACATTACACATTACACAAAGTTTTTCTTATACCTGCTTTCATTACGCGGTAAAGAGCGATCCGCGATGATCGTGTAAAATTTGCCAAAGAAAATTTTATCAGTTGGCGCGATAAGCAGCCCTTACCATGTGCGCTACAGAAGACAATTATTGTGATGCAACTGTTGCTCGGGGGGGGGGGGGACATTTCGCACTTCCACCAATTCTATTTTGCTAGTTCATGTCAAAACAGGTCTCATTTCGAAGCGAAGACCTGTAAACTCGTGAAGCTTGCCACTGAGCCACACTGTCACAGAAGTTTACAGGTCTTCACAAGCTAGCCTCTACAAGCTTAGCCAAGGGCCTTTGGTGCCCCTACTAAGCCGAACTGTACCGCATTTTTGCAGTCGAATTCCGCTCCCATAGTAAGGGCGGAGACACAGAACGACCACATTAGCACTCATCACCTTTGCGGCTTCGAAAGGAAGTTGCACTAATGAGAAGTAAGGCGTTTGCTTCTCTGTTCTGCCGCTCACGCTGCGCGTTGGCCGAGATGCCTTCAAGTTCGGTTTTCATCTTGGCCAGCATGAGCGAATTCACAAACGGATAGCCCGCAAGGAGGGGGGGGATTAGAAGCCTAGCTGACACGAGCGCCATGGACCGCTTTCATACCTCGCCGCGGATCGCCTTCAGCTGCGAATCGCCTGAGACGCCATCTTCACCGTAATAGGGAGATTCGAATGCTGAGGACTATCTTTACTTCTCCACCTACGACCCTAAAGCCGTCTACGCGCTTTAAGAACCTCATGGAATGTTTCGTAAAATATCGATTATACGCGCGTCAAATCGATACCCCTTCTAAACTGTATGTTCTGATAGGGCATGCTAAATTATAGCCAAATTCTAGATTCTGCTTCCGCTCAGACAGCACCAAAAATGGCTCATTAAGGATAAGAGAAACAAAGATCTCTTGATCTTTGTCAACACATGACGACGCCAATTTGCCCCCCCCCCCCCCTCCACCTGCGGGCTCAATCAATATGTATGTTGCGTGTAGGCGTTCGAAAGGAGTTCCTCAATAGATATTGAGCAACCTGTCCCTTGAAAGAAGCGCTGCAAAATCCAGATATACATTTGAGATCATGAAGTTGTGAGGAATGCAATTACGCCCACCTGAGACGCGCGCGGTTGCAGCACGGTCACTACTAGTTTGAAAGCGCTACAGTTTCTTGGACTGGCCTCAGCTTGTCATCAACTCAACACTATCACCAAATAAATACTATCACTACAGAGCAATCCTTAAAATTATCATAATAATAATCTATTCCAAAGTAAAGGAAAAGACTACAAGAAGGTGTATAAATAAAACTGTACGGGTTTTACTGACTTGTTTTCAGCGAACAATAAAATAAGAAATTAAAGGAAAGCTAAAAGTAAAGGGTTCTAATGATGACGCGTGTATTATGCACAATTGTTTCAAGCGGAATACTGCACAAAAAATTCAAATATGACCAATGCAATAGAATATCCTACTTTATGTTGCTCATGAAGAACGACGTCTATTCATGTGTTAGCAGACGTATACGTTTACTGGGCGGTTCGATTCCTGACACTGAAACAAATGAGTATCGATTATTTCGTTAAAATCAGACTATATACACTCTAGTTGGCTGCGGACGGTTGGGCGTGTCAGGCAGTGTGAGTGTGCCACCGTCAAAGCCGTTCTCTGCCTTCTTGTTGAAGCGCGCATGCGACAAAAAGTGGTAGAAAACGAGTAATACGAACGATATGATACAGTCATATCATTTGCTCGCATACGCATAGGTGCTTTACAACTGGTGGAGAACGGGTTTGGCACCGCGCCAAACCCATCCCGCCTGACGCACCCAACCATCCGCAGCGAAGTGCACTATAAGACTACGGGCTTTTTTTGCTGCGGACACTGGGGCGTGTCAGGGGTACTGGATTTGGCGATGCGCCAGCCTATTCTCCACCAATTGCAGAAGTTAACAGGCAAGCGCAAATATTTGAAAACCTGGTCTTCCGCGCCGCTCCCATACTCCCTGAAACGCCAGCGTCCGCAGCGACGAAGTAGTTCGATAGGGTGTTGCTAGCATTGTTAGTCATTCTTCTTAGCTAGAGCGATGGAGTGATGGGAAGACAGAGACATGCGCGCAGGACTAGGTTACGCAGAAGTAGCTTATCTGAGCCTGAAAGTCAGTGCCTGGGGAGAAAGACCACTACCTCGATGGGAGTGCACGTAGGAGCAGGAAAATCCACTCCATCGCCAGAGCACTTCCAGCAGTTGGAGACATTTTTATGCAAAATTCATCACCTTAAACGCCATACCCTCAGAATTTCCTTCTCCGGTAGGCCCTTCCTTCGCCTATCACCCATGTCCATATCATCTTCCATACACATTTCCAACTTCACTACAACGTTTCCCGAGTTTTGTCTTCCAAAAATGCTGCCTCAATTTTGTTTATCAGAAACTGTCTTCGAGCTGTAGGGGCGAGGCGGCGCTGGCGATGCGAGGGGACAGGGATACCACGGATATACGAACACAGAAATCGAGAAAAGTAAAGCAGCATCGAAGGTCAGGCGCCTCCTTCCCTTCACCGACCAATCGGCATCCCTCGCCTAAGGATCCTACGTCGAATGCCCGTATCGTGAAATGCTCCAAGCTATATTCACGGGGATTATTATGTAGAGCGAGCGCGCTGTCGCGACCCAAGGGCGTGCAAAAATCAGCGGAGGTCCGCATGCACAGCAAATGTAGTGTTCTCGGATAGCTGGCCTGACAACCAGTAGCACCATCGCGTTAGATCAGTTAGAACTAGGTTCGACGCCAACACAGTGCCGAATCACTGCGACACTGACCTTTTGCACGCCCCGCTTAGTGTCAACCAACAGCCCTGAGCTGGTCTTCATAAGAACGAGTTCTGACAGAAAGAGGAAGCGGCACACAGATTTCAGAGGGCGGGGATGCACTAAAGTAATAGCAGTGAAAGCACGAAAGAACTACTGGAGGAGCTCAACGCATTACCCATGAGACTGCTGTGCAGCATCTGGCTCACACTCCTATACACGGCTTCCGTTACTAGCAATATGTGCGCAATTCTTGTGACGCGAGGCAAACATCGATTCCGAGAGTTCTGCCCAAGTGTCCGTCTGTAATCATAAATTCACATTAGAATACAAATTTCTTGCAGACCGGCTGACCGCACAAATAAACTGAAGAAGGATTAAGTCCGCGTATGACGGGGGGGGGCATGAAAGCCGCCTCGTTGTTATGGCATTCCCAACGGGGTCGTTTTCTGTCGCCTGGGACAAGGGGGGGGGGTCGTATGGGCTGAGAAAAATGGTTGATTCTTGTTGTACGAGCGTTGCTGGAGGGGGGGGGGTCGTATTTCCCTTTTACACTTCCCCAGAGAGGTTGGCCTGACTCTTTCGTGGTTCCCTCTTTAATTCCTCGATGTTGGGATTAAAAAAAAGGGGGGGGGGGGTCGTAAGGACTCGACTAAAATCGCCAACCAATGATGTGCTCTGACTGGAAGAACTCTTACAAAACAGGCATTACCGTGACGCAGTATCGAATACTAGAATCACTAAGATTTCTATACAGGTCGTGATGCTCTATCGATAAGAACAATCTGCACATTCTACTTAATCGAATCTAGAGGGGTCCTTATCAAGGGAATAACAACCAACTCAGTGGTTCCAACCTACAAAATTAATAGAATGTAATTCGAAGGATAGAAGACCAACCTGAAATACGCTGTTAAATATTTTCGAAGGCAATCGAATTTTCACGCTCAATTTATTTCAGCATCGGGCTTGAGTTGTACATAATCGGCATGACGAGAACTTGCCGCTGTATTCAACGGATGCAAACCACTCCTTAAAGACCTGAAGCGGTACTGGGTAACAGAAAAGGCCAACGGAACAACACCAACGCGAAAATCACAGATCACTTACATACGCCATAGCCTTCTAACGCTTTTGCTGTATTTTTATAAGGCAGCGATGTGACATACTTCGCGATTCAGACCGCGCTATGAGAATCGCGGCTGCTCGAGACGTGTGACTCTACCGGTAAATCGTTGCGGGGCTGCAGCGTCTCAATCGAATGGGATCTGGACCTTCCCACTGTTCCAATGACTACCCGTGCGAGACGTATCGGTCCATCGTAGAGATACGATGTGCACCACTCAGTCGCCCGAAGTACGAACCTGATCGGAGAGCTTACACAGGAAACCCCTACGGATAACAACTTACTGATCAGCCCATTTTTTCAATCCGGGCAAAAACTGAATCTATTCGCGCTGCTAACAATTCCAGCCCATTTGTGAAGTTTGGCGATCTCGCAGAGTTACATATCATTAATAATTCATGCGGATTACCTAAAAAAGGATCCGCCATTCCAAAACGAATAGGGAAACCAACATGAGAGAGAGAGAAAAAAGGCGGCGCTGAGTGTTGGGAGGGGGGGAGGTGGTGGAGCGACGAGGGCACTTGAAGGGCTCCTTGTGCAGAAGAGGGAATCCCGAAATGAAGACGATAACATCCGCTCAAGGTTACGAGAGAGGGAGCTCCTGGGTTGGTGAATCAACTAAAGGGAAATACGCCGTGTATAGCCTGAGGGGGCATTTAAAGGGCTCAATGTGCAAAGCTGAGTTTCCCACGATGGAGATGAAGAATCTTGTCATGGACTGAAACGAAAGGAGCTCTTGTGCTCGTGAACTTATTGAAAGGACGGTACTATACTGACTACGTCAGTTATACTTTTGCAGAAACTCTTTAAATGGCCCTTCCGGGCGGTATCAGCACAGGCGGCACTTCTACTTGAATGATGTTAGTCCCACTTTTGCTCAAGAAGTTCCACAAAAGAAGACTACACTTTCCGAGGTTTATCGAGGGTTACAACGCCTTTCGCCCGAAGAGTCCTTCAAATGCACCTTCCCCCCTCCCCTAGGGCGTCTCAATGAATACTATGCAATATACCAGAAAGATTATAAAATGATGCAGTGGAAAGGGGCACGCTTCACGCGCGCCGTCCGGGTTCAACTCCCGGGTCAGCTCCCACCAGGGCTAATCATTCCTTCTACGGATGATAAGTGGTTATACCTTTCCTTTACAACTAAACAAAATCAAAAATATTGGTTACACTTTTTTTACAATAAAATAAAATCAGAAATATACCTAAAAATAAACAGCATAATGATAGAAACACTCACCTCGTAATCTATATCTTCAAGTACAACCCGATTTGTTTTTGCTTCTTCCGTATGCGGCTCTAACATGGCCGCAAAGACGGGAGATCGTGCTGATAAAACTACCTGAACGAAAAAAATCAGCTCAAATTTATTCAAAATCAACAAAAACAAAAGGAAATAATAAACAACATACCTTATGAACTGGGATTTCTTTATCGCCTACGACAATGGTGAAATCGGACAATTTGGCGTCCTTGAATATTGATTCGAGATCCTTTGTTACCTATAAAAACAACCTTGAACTCTACAAAAAGTGTTCATAAGAGATCCCCGAGAGTAAAGTGACAAAATAATACGCTAGTAACCTCGGAGGGCCAGTTGAAGGAAAAAGCGCAAAATTGGACTTGACGTCATCCGGTCCTGCTGCGTTCTAGGCTGGTTCACCCACCCCGAAGCTGCTCCCCCTTCAGCCCAGGACAAAAGTCCAGACCTAAATTACGGTGATTCTTGCACAGAGTCCTTCAAATTCTCCCTTTCCTCGCCCAAGGCTACTAGCGACGAAAATATCACGCCATCAAAGACATTGTAGCCTGTGGTAAACATCGCTCCCTTGAACTTCCAAACTTGATATCCCATCAGTTCTGAACGCAGACAAAAGAAACATAAATTCAAAGACTGGCTTACCTCTGCTGGTTTAGGTTCAGGTGGGCCGAGGGTTTTCGGCGCTTGACTAGTTCTTGTCACCGTATCGAATGTAACCGTCATATTAAGCACCAATTGTAGTTCATCCGACGGATGCACATGACTAATAAGGAGATCCCGCCGTATATACTCAAAATATCCATGGAGCTGAAAAAACGGAAAATGAAATCACGATGACGATCGCAGAGATTTGAATCAGCACTGATTTTTATAATCCTGGCTAATTCGAAGACAGATTTCCACCTCCCCACCAAAATTTTGTGCTAAACTAGATGGTTGGTGTTAGCAGAATGTTTTAGAACAGGGGATATCGTCAGACCGGGTGAAGCGGAGAGGTTAGTGCGACCTCTAAGCGGGTATGTTGGACCTCCTAGCAGAGGAAAAAACAGCTCTTCAATCGCGCTGCCAATCAAGGGGCATATATAGTGCGCCTGAATTGCAGGGCACATCATCGTTGGCGGTTCGTGTAAAGCGAAGTCGTATTCGACCACTGGGGAGAGAGGTAATACTTGGTATTGGGAGGATTTTCGGAGCACCGCCGGGGGTGGGGGCACCAAATACTCGAAGTCTGTACAGGTAGCCTTGTGAAGACCTGTATACTCCTGTAAAGTGGCTGACTTTCACTGTTTCGCAGCTTTCCGATAGTTAACAGGTCTCAATAAAGTGAGAACTGTTAGACAACATGAACCAGCAAAGAGACTAACCAGACTGCAAAATGCCCCTCCCAAGTCGAACAGCCCCGAATTCCCTTCCGATTGTCGACTTTTCTCGTTTCATCTATACCGCCATTCCCCAAATTTCAATGTGCTAGGCAGGTTGTGATCTAGAGAGGGATGTATACAGTCCTCATCATTGCGGACTGTCAGGGCGGCTGAGCCGCGCTGCACTGTGACGCGACAGCTCGGCGACGGCGAATCACCTGATTTCCATGGAATTCGGCTGTAATTCCCACTTTTTCAGCTCTTCAAGCTTCGAAAGTGGAAGGTGAGTTATTTTGAACAATTTTAAATTGTACTGGCTCTGATTTCCTTTATTTTTATGTCTATTATTATGCTCTTTTCCTTGTATTTTGCCTTATTTCAGGCATTTATTCAAATGGCTTGCATTCTTTCAGATTCATTCAGAGCCAGTAGAATTTGAATTGTTCAATAATTCAACTTTCCACTTTCGAAGCTTGAAGAGCTGAAAAGTGGGAATTTGCAGCCGAATTCCATCGAAATCAGCTGATTCACCGTCACCGAGCCGCAGCCGCTGTCGCGTCACAGTGCAGCGCGGCTCAGCCGCCTCGACAGTCCGCAATGATGAGGACTGTAAGACAATGAAATTTGATAAAATGTCGCGCTGGCAGCCGACTCGAATGCCGCGGGAAGGATCAATAACAATTTCATCATGGAGTGATGGGGATGGCGGACATTCCACTTTTTTCCGTTAACTTCTCTTGCTAGTTCCTGCTAAGTTCCACGTGTCACCTCAGTGCGAGCTACAGGCCCTTGTCAAACGGTATAACCAGCTCTGCTACTGACATCCAGCTTTGGGAATTACAGATTTCCAGGAGATGCATCGGCAGTGACCCATAGCAGCCAGGAAATGCTCCCGCCCCACCAAGCCGAACTACGCCTGATGCTAAAACTAAATGCTAAGTAGAGGAAACTACTGTTTTGTGTTCGGGTATAGTACTGGTCGTGTGGGATTGTCCTCAATTTCTTGAGTTAAACACCGTAAATTTGAACTTGGCCTTGAACTGTACATTCGTCTGGTTGGAGAAACACTGAAATATAAACACCATAAATATAATGAATATCAGTCCAACTAAAAATCACTGTTCTAGGACTCGTTACGAGAAAGTAGAACGAAATTCTAATATAAAAATCACGAACAATATAGCAGAAAACATTTTGAAAAATACCAAAGCACGAGAAGAAAAAATGCATAGAAACTGAAAGTAAAAAAAAGTGAAGAGGCAAGACTCCACAATTATTAATTGTAAGTTTCTAAACCTTGTACCCCATAACCCACGCACGCCCGTAACAGGTACAGTACTGCAATAGTGTCCGCAGAGATCATTTATTATCTACAGGTTGTCTCGTAGGGACAAAAGGGTGAACGCTTGTTTCTTATTACTTGTGTTTTTTGCTCAATCTAAAAATATCACAACATTTTCTTTTTGGTTTACATTTTTGTTCACTCCCAAGAATATTGAAAGTAATTACGTAAAAGAAATTAGCTTGAGAGTGCGGCTATTCTTCCTTAGCATATGTATATTAGAACTTCCGAGTATGCTTCATTTTCTACAGTCAACATAATATCAGGGCCAGGGAAGCATCATGAGGAGGGGAACAAATCTATTGATACATCTCAGAAGGACACTCTCATCTTCTCTCCCAGTCTTTTTTAAGATCCGTCTAGCGGGAGGGTGCGTGGATCAGGTTAAGTGTGGCGGTGAGGAAATGTCGATCGTATTTGATGACAGGGTAATGGAGCATACAGGCCTAATGAAGGATTTTTCAACTCTGCCCCTTCCCGCTACATGCGCTATATGTCCCAGTCGACGACATTTCTGGAGCTTTTGCTTGATGCGAGTCGTATGGAGGAGGGGAGTCGCAAAGTAAAAATTTTTCTTCAC